TCAATGCCTTGTGCCACTTTGTATGATACATGTCATGAAGGTAAGAGCAGCAGCAGCAGCAGCAGCACACTGCTAACTCAGTAGCCTTCTGAGTGCCAAGTGCACTGAATCAGCAAATCTGCCACTCACAAGCAATACGGGAATCTATGGCTTATGCATATGCTAGGCCGAACAGCAGATCCACAGATAGCATGAGTGGCACAATCCAAAACAGGGTCTATAGCACAATACCCTCACATTAGTCAGCTTTCTTCCTTGAGGGACCTTTGCTCCAATTTCTGTTTCTACATTCCAGTATTAAATCAGCTGAGGTTGGAGCAATAATATTATTGTGGAAATCATAACAATAATATCTGCTGCTCTTCAAAGCAGTGCAGAATGAATTATGTATATCTCTTTCCACTGGCAACAACACTTTATCTAACCTGCATGTTACCTTTGGGTGAAGCAACTCCCCATTTTTAACGGTGCCCTGTGGTAAAAACACAAAGCTGACAAAGCCTGAAGCTACTAAGGATTGGCATTTGCAACTGAAGGCCTATCATTGGCAATGGGCTTTAGAGTTCCTGAGTAATAAATATGAGGTAAAGGTTCAGTGGAATATAGGCAGTTTGCATTAAACTGCATCAGAATTTAGTGAAATTAGCATCCTAGTTAGAAAGTTGCTACATGTTAGTTACAGTGGTGCAGACACATACACAAAACCATGTAAGATAATTTGCAAGTTCCTTGGAAGAACCTAAAAACAATTTGTATTCGTTACCCCTAAGTCTTAAACTCATCAGGTTGGATGCAGTCTTATGTTAGTTGCATTTAGATCGAATTAAAATCAATTAAACATGACTTACATCCCATAGGTGTTAGTGGGAAATAAGGGCATTTTAATATTGATCCAGTCCATTAGGATTGCCACCAGTTCCCTAACATTCCCTAACATTGCTGCCAATAGCAGGTAATTAAATCCCTGTTCTCAGGCTGGCATAAGATCATATAGATCCTTAATGATCCCAACACCATCCCAAACTGAGCTGTTTTCAGCCCCATCTCCAGTGAAGCACTGATGACATTGTAACCATGGTGGCAGAAAGCTCCAGCATCCATAGCTATTTCTTGCTCGTTCACAGAATACAGAAAGCACTATGCTGCCTTTGCATGATGGCACAACCTGTATATTCTCTATCCACTACAATGTTAGCACAGGGAAAACATTATTTAATGGGAAATTATATGCTTTGAGTTAAGGTTTTAAAACCAAATATAGATAAAGACACCTGGTTTTCAATCTGTTTATCTTTCTGTGTTACAGGTTTTGTTTAAGCTTCTCCTGGGGAGTGCTAAATTTGGGGAAGCTGCCTTATTTTTGTCAGTGTTAGCGGTCTTCAATGTACTTTTTGTTACCTGTATTCCTATCATCCTTTACTTTACCAAAGTAGAATACTGGAGTTCTTTTGATGACATTCCTTGGGGAAGCATTTGCGGATTTTCAGTCCTATTATTGAGTAAGTGAATGCTGCGTTTCTGATAATCTTCCAATAATAGCAGTGCCTCTGGCGCCCTGCCAGACCAGCATAGCCAACTGGGTTGGATTGAGCCCTGCTGAATCAGGCCAAAGGTCCTTATAGTCTAGCATCCTGTGTCCCATAGTGGCCAACCATGCACCTAAGAGAAGCCCCACAGGAGGCTTGCTGTTGTTCCTCAGCAACTGATATTTTGAGGCATGCTGCTCTGATTCTTGAGGTACCATATAGCTATTGAGAACCTTATCCTCCAGGAATGTGTCTAATCCCTTTTTAAAGACATCTAAGTTTATGGCCATCACAACACCTTGATTCTGTAAATTCTGTAATGTAACAATGTGCTATGTGAAATACTTCCTATTGCCTATCTTGAATCTCCACCTTCAGTCATCTTTTTCAACACCCCAAATCAAATTGCATATCTGCTGGAACTTTTCCTTTTATACAATAAGTTAGACATGAGGAACCTCTTTATAAGGGCAAAATCCAGAGAATTTCAATAGATTTTAATCCTTACACTTTTTACTAGCAAATGTTCACACTGGTTGAAATGAGACTGCTTAAAGTGAACTAATTAAACCTGCATGACTAAAGAGGATTTGGTTTTACAACTGCTCTCTCAAAAATGAAATAATTTTGTTTCTTATTTCAGCATTCAATATTTTATTAAATTTTGGGATTGCTATTACATATCCTACCTTGATATCTCTTGGAATTGTACTAAGTGTACCTGTAAATGTCGGTAAGAATGCTTTTTAAGAATTTAAATTATATGCACATGTATGTATAGCATATACTTGGTTTATACCTAAAGAACTACAGAGTTCTTATTCTTCCTATATGCAAGTAATATAATTTTATAGTATTGGTCTTTAGATTAACAAATTAAGAATGTCAAAATTAAATTGATTTCAAGCATTTATCTCTAATTTTCTACTGGCACAATAATGAGGTTTTATGCATGTCCCATTTATTTCAGTGCCAGGTGTGAAAGTGATGGTTTGAAAAAGTAAACTGATTCCTAATTATATATTAATCATTAATCATATTCAAGAAAATGCAAAAAGATAGCCATTTCAGTAGACAATATGAGCCTTGAGAGTATGAATGCAAGTTTTGAGTGGGGGAATCTGTAAGGAATAAGCAGTTTAAAATACCCATCCTAAACTACTAGTAGCTGTAAGATCAAACTCAGGGTTCATCCACACTTCAGCTTGTCCCATACCCAGAAAGGAAAACTGATTGATGTTTGCTCTGATTCAACAGTAAACAGCAGGTTTACTGGGGGAAAGCAGTGGGACAAGCAGAAGGTGACTCCTCAGTGAGATAAAAAGCAGTATCTGATAGGTACTTTTGGCTGGAGCTTAAAAGGTAAAGGGACCCCTGACCATTAGGTCCAGTCGCGAACGACTCTGGGGTTGCGGTGCTCATCTCACTTTACTGGCCGAGGGAGCTGGTGTTTGTCCGCAGACAGCTTCCGGGTTATGTGGCCAGCATGACAAAGCCGCTTTTGGTGAACTAGAGCAGCGCACGGAAACACCATTTACCTTCCTGCAGGAGCGGTACCTATTTATCTACTTGCACTTGACATGCTTTCGAACTGCTAGGTTGGCAGGAGCTTATGACCGTGCTATTTCTGCAATATTCTTTAGCACCTAATGACATTCAAGCTTAATTGATTGAGGTTTCTGGAAGTGTGATCATCTCTATCAGAAAACCCTTCTGTCACCAATTAGGCCCTGTCACAAATTAGCCTCCATAACCCCAGTGTGCTCCAAACAGAGAACAGGAGCACTATACCCATAAAGCAATCCTCTCAAATGTTTTGAAACAAGGTATCTAAACCACATGCAACAGGAGAAGACCAAACAGGCTTCTAGGCAACTTATTTCTTTAGGATTTATATTTCACCCTGCATCGTGTATGAACTTGATTTGAGGAAAAATTAACTGCCGCTGCTTGCATAATCTAACCCAAATGCAAGAAGCTAATGAATGAGAAATGCTTTATACCAACAAGAGTACCTACAATAAAACATGCCCTTGAGCATGCATGAACTAGTTCTTTGTATCCAGGCCTATACAATATTTAATACCACTGATAATGTTTAGTTTCATCAGTGTTGTTTGGTTGCATGTTTGGGGCCTTAAAGTTGTGAAACTGAATTGAAATGCAGGCTCTTTGCTATTAGTTATGTGATATTCTGTTGAGTATGTGGTGCTTTGTACCCTTTAATGATATTAGTTCAATGTTTCATGCAGTTGTTGATCACTACCTGAGTGACATTGAATTCAACAGTGTCCGCGTAATTGCCATTGTCATCATTGGCCTGGGCTTCCTGCTGCTGCTTTTACCAGAGGAATGGGATGAGTGGTTGATAAAGCTCCTCACTCGCCTCAAAGTACGAAAGAAGGAAGAGATACCGGAAGGAAATGGAGACATTGTTTCAGGATTACAAAATAAAAGCAGGAGAACACGCCCATCCATGTCATCATTCTCACATTAATGTTGTTTTTTTATGGAAAGTCTTTAATGTTATATGCTATAATTCACAGATCTTTTCTTGCAAAGCACATATGTTCAATACAGTGTACATAGATGTACAGTTTTGATAATAATAGAGTCTGAGGCATCACGTTTCAGCATGTCCAAATTGCTTGCACTGTTTCACATCAGATATTTCACTTGAGAGAACTCATTTAAAAAGGCAAAAACAGAATTCTTTTTAAATGAATGTAATGTATAAATGAATTATATTGTGTATATTGTTTTAATGATCAATCATCATGAAAAGCAGGGCATATAATTTGAACATTAAGTACTGAATGACACATCGCACACTGTGATTTACAAATATATATAATATATATATATATAGAAAAACAGATGCTATACTATGTCATAAGCTTATTTTTTAAACAGAGCTGTACTCTATAAATGTTTTCATATAAACCAAAAGAAAATCTTTTAGTGGGGGGGGAGAAAATGGGGAGGGGGGAATTGCTGTGTGAAGATTAGTGCCCTTGGTGCCAGAGCAGAGGCCGGATAAAATGTTAAGTTTTGCACAAAAGCATGAAGGTGAAAGCAGTCAAGAGTATCAGGGCACCATTAGCCAGGAATTTTTCCTGTGAAAGCCGCATTGAAGTGAATAGCAGGTGTGCAAGAACATGGCAGGCTTCTTCCTGCGTGGTGTCTTGCATGACTCCCATCCATCTCAATAGAGTTTGTGCAGGAAAAGTTCTCTGGGGTAGTGCATCCAATCTTTATAACTGTGCATGATGACTGCAATCCATGCTTTTTCTCATGCAAGGGAAAATACAGTGCCTTCTACAGAAATCTAGTCCATTGTCTGTGTAGAATTAGGTCACACTGCAAGTTGCTTCTGCATTGGTCTTTACAACATGAAAAGTTTCTTCTGCAGACACAGTGCTCTTGAAACTCCCAAAGAAATCAATGAGTGCCTGGTTCAAGCCACTGATTAATGGGAGTGCTGAACACTTGGGGGCTTCAAGGTCTCTTGCTAGGTCAGATTTGCTTCCCACTTACATGGGTCTTGAGGTGGGACTCTCCTCCTGATCTGTATTTCTGTGAGTGTGAAAAGAATCAAGCCCTGCATGTAAGAACCTTGCTTAAAAACCAACAATAAAGCTAGCAGCCACTTACAGGGAACACAGTTTATGATGTATACAAAAGGGGACTAAGAGGTGAATCGCCACTTGCTTTTATTACATTGCTTTGAGGGTGGTTTTTTTTAAAGAACACACAAGATATTAACATCAAACCTAACACTTTTTACCAAACGTGTAAGCACCAAGCTGTTTACTTCTACAATTTAGGTTCGCCATTAAATTTCTATCTGTGATAGATTATGTGATATGTACAAAGAAAGAGGCAAAGGTTATAGTTTACTATTTTTGAAGTTTACATTGCTACATACAAATTAAAAATGTTATTTTGAAATGTTGCCATAACCCAATGGTACATGCTGTCTCTGTGGCATTTTTACATGTCAAATGGAGGTGGCGTTCACTTCTCAAATTTTTATTGAATCAATTTCAGATTCAATTATTTGCTTGACAAAACTAATAAAACTACTGAAAGTTCATACCAAGTCAATGGCTTCTGCTTCTGTTTCCCATCTTCTGGTGAGATATCGTGTTATTTTTACTAAGAAATATTTTACTTGTGTGGAAGTGACAAAAGAAAAGAAAGGGATAACAAGCCCAGTGCTGTCACCCTGAAAAATACTTTCTCCAGGTTGTTTCAGCTACACTGATTTTGTTTATATCAAAAAAGACTTAAGTGGGAAGAGCAGTACTTCAAGGGAGCCATGGAGATGCAGAGCCACAGATCTGCAGGCACAACCATAGCCCTGTCAGCTCTTTCTGTATAAGGCAGAAGATGGGGTGGGCATTTTCTTTTCTTTTCTTTTCAAAACTGCATCAGCTCCAGTCCAGAGTAGTAGATGGGGCCCAGGAGCTGGACTGGCTTACAACAAAATGGATCCATGGTCCAGCCCAGCTCCAGCCCCAACCCAGACCCTGTAACACCCCACTTGGGAGCCACCCCCTGGACCAATGTCTCTTCCACTATACTTGCTGAGGCCACAGTGGGGAGCTCTGTGGGGGGCAGAGGCTAGTGGGCAGGGCTATTCACTGAATCCTCTACACACACACACACACACACACACACACACACACACACACACCAGCAGTATGGTTGGGGGTTAGAACTGCAGCCTCAATATTTTAAATACACTTGGGAATAGTTAAGGGAGTAAGGTGTACCTAATTTTTGCTAGAGTGCACACATATTTTTCTAGTTTTCGAGACCTACCAGTGCATCGAAACACTATGCATGGCCAACATTGTACTAGTGGTAGATGTAGCATGCAGATAAGAAGGACCTCCCCAAAGATCTAGATACCAAATAGTAATACAAATTTATCTACGCAATTTATTATTTCCTCCCTTTGTCTTGTACATTTCTTAAATTAAAAGCTAGGTTGAAAATGTTATCCAGGACATGCAGCCCAGCCAGCCATGTGAGCAATGAGTTATGTAACACCCTGTTAGTCGGCAAGATTTAGGTGATAGGAAAAAAGCCTGAATGTGGTTGTTCTATTTGTTAATATTTCAAAACCTTTTAGAAATTATTCTAAGCAAGTGCGCTATGTATACATACTGTCTAAGAGATTTTACATATCTGTAATTCCCCCTCCCCTGCCCACCAAAAAATAAAGATAGTTGCCAGAATTAATCTGCACAGTTCAAATGAAAAATGTGAGCCATTTGCTTATTCAAGTGTGCATTAATTCATATGGAGTATGTGCAACTAAGATCAAAGCAAGAGTGTTAATATTCTGACTCACTCAAAACAGAACAGTCCTCTGTTCAAATGTCAACAGAATAGGGCATTTATTTTGTTCTTGCATGCACTAATGAAAATTAGGTTTCTAAAACAGAACAGGAAAATGTGTGCAGTAGTTAAACTCTTTTCTACAACAATTCACCAGGCTCATGGATTGTTTTATTCGATTTAGAAACTCTGCTCAAGTCCTGAACACACACAATAAGTAGATCTTCCTGAAAACAGTGCTACTTACTCCCAAGGAACTTGAGAGCTGTAGTAGTTTGGCCCAGCAGCCCAGTCCAGCATCCAGTGCAAGAGTTATGGTATGATGCTATGGAACACCTCAGCCCTTGACTTTGGAACTGTGGGCCAGCCTGCCTACCTTCTTTGCTTATACAAGAGAATTGGTGGTTGCTACTGTGCCTGTGCCCTGGAGAAGGATCGAGATGGAGACAGACACAGGTGAGAGCTTCAGCTAAGAGCAGCAGTCCAGCTCCTAGCACAACCTTGTGCCATCAAATTAGTACTTGCTGGGAGAAGAGGGAAATCTGAGGGCATGAGGCTCCTAGATGTTATGCTGCATGCATAGCAAAATGCCACTTAACTGCAGTAAAACAAGGCTTTCTTTGAGCCACTACAACTACCACAACTACAACTAAACTAGTACTGAAAGATACTGTAGTCGGTGGTACTCCATGGTGTATAGGTAGTTTCCTATGGCAACAAGGAATTTTCAGTGAAAGCAATGTCATTAATTCAAAGCATCTTTTCACATACTGATACTGCATTGTTAAAGCACAACAGACCTGCACTTGAAATGGCTAGTTTATTTAGCTACTTAGCCGTCTTCAGATTCTTATTACTATCTGAGAAATGTTATACAATGACTTGAATATAAGGAGCTTCCATTATCTAAAAGCCATTCTCAGCATGAAGACTGCCGCTCAGCATGATCCCTTACCAAAATAGTTTTCAGGGCAATACAATAGGCACACAAAAAATGAGGCTGCACTCTGCTGGGAAGTTTTAATGCTAAGCAGAGCGGAGCAGAGCATGATAACTATTGAAAAATTAATAGAAGTTTAAAAACTCTAATTGAAAACCCTAAAGTAAATCTGAAATTCAAATTTATGTAAATTAAAATATACCTTTTTTGTTGAAAGCAGTACTTGGCAACCTTTTTAGCTGTCACATTCACAGTAGGCATAGTATAATTATGGTGCTGGAGGAGACTCTTGAGAGTCCCATGGACTGCAAGAAGATCAAACCTATCCGTTCTTAAGGAAAGAAGCCCTGAGTGCTCATTGGAAGGACAGATCGTGAAGCTGAGGCTCCAATACTTTGGCCACCTCATGAGAAGAGAAGACTCCCTGGAAAAGACCCTGATGTTGGGAAAGATGGAGGGCACAAGGAGAAGGGGACAACAGATGGTTGGACAGTGTTCTCGAAGCTACCAGCATGAGTTTGACCAAACTGCGGGAGGCAGTGGAAGACAGGAGTGCCTGGCGTGCTCTGGTTCATGGGGTCATGAAGAGTCGGACAGGACTAAACGACTAAACAACAACAACAAATATGAATCAGTAGACTTGCTTATGGGGTAGGCTGTCAGCCACAAGAAGAAGTACTCACCTAGATAGATGAAGTTGCTTTGTTATGTCAGACTATTCATTGCCAGACAGCACCCCCCATGATACATAGCTTGGCTCAGGGAATATAAGTATAGTTTGACTAGGAGTTTTCTTTCTTTAAAAATGTCATCATCCACCATTGCCAAGGAACTTCTCTTGAATTCACATGAACAAGAAGCATTAAGTTAGTGTTATATTCCAGGTACATTCTGTAATGAGAGGGAAGTCCCTGCTCCAGTAACAACCCTGTAGTGTAGGCTAATAGTCTTGAGGGATCTGTCCTAGTCCTTTCTCTCTGCTGCCACTGCTTGCTTATGCATCATCAAGGTCTTACCATGGTCTCCTCAAGATCTCTGGCTTGGCAACTTCAGCCCGTCTCCCCTCCACTTTCCTAGGCACATTAACAATCAGTAGCATAGGCCTTGAGTGTGTTCAGCTCTAATTAAGCAGTTTATTCAAATAGAGTATGTATTAAAAAAAAGGCAGAAGGGGGAGAAATTGCAAGTGTGCAGCTCAAAATACCAGAATATTGGTTTAACTAACCCTACACTTAATCCAAACTAACACTGCAAACTTACTCTCACTGGTCACCTCTGGCACTGGCAGCTTCAGGCATGAGCTGCACGTTGGGGAAATCAAGAGGGGCAAAGGCTGAATGGCCACAGACCCCTTTTTAAGGGTTTAGATTTTAGTGACAAGTGGTAGTTTCAGGAATTAGGGGAGATGGTAGGCAGCTCCTGGGGGCAGTAAAAGAGGGTTATCAGTGGTAGAAATTACCCCCTGGGTTACACTATATTCTTGCTGGTCAGGATTTAATCAATGACTTTGTACACTGGAAGAGGGATCTGCCGTCTTCACTAAGGTAATGGGGGAAGAACACCAAACCTGGCCAGATTCTAGCATATCTATCCTGAGGTTTTTGTTCCTTGTATAAATTTAACATGGTTCCTCTGAAAATGACTACTATTCATAGGAAGATGCCTTACATCCTGACAGAGTATTATCACCCATACTATCAGTTATGAGTAGAAGCCACTCTTCAGGGTCTTGAGCAGAAATTGTTTCCCTCACCTGATTCCTAACCCTTTAAGCTGGGGGTGTGGGGAATGAAGATGGGATCTTCTGTTTGCAGTGCATGTGCTCTGCCAATGAATTATGGTCACTTCCCTAAATAAGGAAATGAAATAAGCCTGGGATATTTATTTATTTAATTACCTATATAAAAGTTGAAGCTAATTTTTAATAATGCACAGGTCTCATTCTTCCTTTAGAAAGCTCAGAGGAGCTTACATGAGGCATCCAGTGGTCTCCAATCCATCAAATGAAAAGGTATATAATTTGGTAGCTTCATCATTGCTATAGGATTTAATGTAAAACATTAATTGGGTCTATTCTGACCACTAGGAGTTATTTATATGGGAATACATAGGACTCATTGCAACAGAGAGATGCTATTTTCATGTAAACCATGACAGAGCAACTCATTCTATAAGACAATGAGGAAAAAAAGATCAGAAGGGCATCCTCTTCCAGACAGGGGAGCTTGTCTATAGAGTTACCCACTCTGCATTTTCTCCAGCCACTAAGTATCAACAATATTGCTTTAGATTTATGCCCCACAGACAGCAAATTATCAACAAGCCACCAATTTTCTACAGAAAATCATACAGCAAAATAAAAAGAAGAACCTAAACAAAGCAACTACATGTATGCCAACTAAAAAGATACTATCCTGGGAGTTCAAAAGTGGCATAGACCACATATAATTTTAAGAATTATAATCATTCAATACTTTTCAAGATCAACCCTTACCTCAATGCTGTGAAAAAGCCACACAGTTCAGAAGTGCAGCTCCTTGGTTCCCATGGAAACGAGCCAGCACTTCTTACTGTTCCACTAGTAGAATGTGAAGGTGTGTGGGGTTTACAATCAGTTTAGGAAACTGATAAATTATTAAGACACTGGTTGCTTTGGTTTCAGTCACTAGACCTAAAGACCATCTCTGTCCAGCACCTGCCTCAGAACAGGGTCAGCAGCAGCCAAGGTGAAAACTTGAATAAAACATGGGAGGGGGAGATAATCACATGATGCAGCACACACACTCAACACTATTTGAATGGCAATACCCAAACTTATGGATGCGCGGGGGAAAACCTCACGCCTAGGACTTACGATCACATGGTTGGCGGTGATCCCGCCGGTGGCTCCGTTGTGCCCAGGCCTGCCAACCTAGCAGTTCAAAGCACCTCTGGGCAATAGATAAATAACCGCTTACCAGCTACGGCTTCTTGCTGCGTGCTCGCAGATGCACTTGTCATGGCACTGACCCGGAGTGCTGGACAGTGCGGCTCCCGACCTAAGAGGATGAGCGCACCAACCAAGAGTCTGGCAAGACTGGCCCAAACGGGCAGGGGTACCTTTACCTTTACGGTTACCCATCAACTTTGGGGGAGCCAGCCCCCCTCAAATATTTTATTTGGGAGTGTTGTGAAGGGACTTTGGCCCCTAGGAGTTGGCTCCTATGTCAAAAGCTCCCCCTCCCTCAAATGCCACAATCCCATTCACAGTACTAGAAGTAAAGAGCAGGAATCAAGCTTCACCACCAAGATACCCGCAGAGGAGATAGATCCAGTTCAGATGCATTGGTCACCCTACAATCATTATTTAATCTGACTTGGGGAGGTGGGCAGAATTGGTCCCAAACCCCATATTGTGATCATTTAGATCAGACTTTAGGCTTAAGGACCCATCTGCTTCAGCATTTTGCTGCTTGGGAGGAGAGAGTTCACTCACACACAAAGGGAAGATTTTTGTAACTCTCAGCCTTTAGAAATAGGCTGTGACTGAATTGAGAAAATCTACTCAGACTTGGGGAAGTAGTTGTTTCTGTGAGAGGAACTTCCCCGTCATTGGTCCTTCAAGGTGTAGCCCGGAACTCCTCGGTTCCTGGGGTCCAAGAATGCTTTCTCAGGGATGAAATGCAACTCTCAAGCCACCAAGCTGGACACTTTGCCCTCCTTAAACTGTCAGAATATGGGAAGTCTGGGCTCCTGTGTTGCTAGATCAACCATAGGCGGCGCTGCGTCCAAACTGAAGCCGCCTGCGCTGCTGCTAAATCAGGAGGAATTAATAAAGTTGTTCCGTTTTGCAGCCGTTTGGGGCCTCGTCTCTGAGGTGACCTGACAACTACAAAGGAAAAACCTCCTACAGAATCCCTGCTCGGATGGTGGCGGCAGGCAGCCCTTGCGCGACAAAGGGAGGCTGACCCTTCCGAGCCTCCCGAAGTCTCCGCTTCTGTTCCTCGCCTCTTAACAAATTATGACCTGTCGTGACTTCGAAAAGCGCGTATAGTTCACCACACACCAGGAAGGATTTTTTTTTAAACTGGAATTTCACGGGCAGCACAATTGCAAGCACGGCGGGTGCCAAAGTGGCGTAAGGACAGTCCCGTCCGTTTGCTACCAAAATCAGCTGCAAATGTCAATGTAATTGGTCCGCTTCCATCCTCAAAAAAGCCCCACCTGCTAATGCAGACGCCGCTGCTTTAACACTGGAACTTAAAAAAATACATGGTGGCAATTTTGAAGATTTTCGATTGCCGAATTATATTCTTGCCATTTATTCGAAAGCACCAGAATATTAACGGCTAAATTAGAACTTCCAAACCTGTGGGGCGCACGAAACGCAACTGCAATTCATGTCTCTTAGGTCACTGCTCTGTGCCAGGGCTTCATTCTGAGCCCATTTGTTTTCCCGCCCGCAGAGCAGCACTGAAGGGGGCCGGGCAGTAGCCTAGCAACAAAGCCGCCAAGCAAGCTGCGTAAGTGCGCACGCGCAGCCAATAACGCAGCAGGCGGAGAGAGAGACCCTCTCTTCTCCGCCTCCGCGTTGTCATAATCAGCTCAGGCGCTCCATGTTAACTGCGCATGCGCTTCCGGTGTGTGTGCGTTCGTCACCTGGATGAACATCCGGGCTTTTCAAGCTCAGCCGGAAGTGCGGCGGGTAAGTGAGGGCGGCGAGTGTAGAATCCTCACCTGGTCTGGAGGTCGGGAGCCTGGCTTCCCGCAGAGGAGCGGCCGCTTCTGTCGGGCGGAGAGAGCCTTCTGAGCGCGAGAAGGCGGGGAGACCCTTCTCAGCCCTTCTGCGGGTGGAGAGTCGGAGGTGACTCCCAAGACTGCAGCAGCCGAGCGTGGAGGGCAAGCAGAGCCTCCTCCGCGCGCTTCCCCCTGCCTTGTGCCCACTTGGCACCGCTCTCCAGCCGCGGCGAGGGCGCGGGACTCGGTCACGCGGCGCCTTCCCTGCAGGCGGCTCTGCGGGGAGGGAAACGGCGGGAGAGACCGCGCGCTCTCCTTTCGGCGACTCACGGCAGAAACTGGACTTTCGGGATAGGTGTCCTGGGGAGCCCCGTTCTTTAGCCCCGAGTTCAGCAGCTCAGGTTGGTCGCGTGCAATGTGGCAACTGCCCAGCAATACAATGTTTTTTTGGGGCTTCTTAAAACTCTTCATCTGACAACCTGGGATTATTTTATGTGCCCAATGCAGGTGGCAAACTGTAGGGTTTCTAGTGTTCAGTAGAGTTTTGTACGATGAACCAGTCTTACATGGTGTTAGTGTTCTTGAAATACTAAGTAACAGTGCACTGTAGACATTGTTGCCTGCTTTTAAGAAGATCTCGTTCCGGAGAGCTTATGAAATGGTGCCTCCTTAAACATAAGGTGTGGCAGTTTGTTTTACTACAGTTAAAATCTCTGGGCTTTAGACTCTGCTGTGAACCAAACAATGCCAACCCTGGAATCTCAGTATATTTATGTAATAGTAAGGCAGATTGTGGCCCACACAATTGCACCCTCTCCAAAGGTTCCCAAAACATAAGAAGCGCCTGCTGGATCAGACAGATGGCCCATCTAGTCCCGTGTCTTGATCTCTCATTGGCCCAAAAGCAGGACATGAGTTGAACAGTGCTTTACATGCTAGAAAAAAGCCAACTCTAACCCTAGTGAGCTCCACTCCTGTGACCAGAAGAGGTGGTGGCAAGTAAGGGCTGCCAGCAGTTGCACCAATGTCCTTATATATAAGGGCAATATATGCAAAGTATGGTAAAGCAAAGCTTAATAAAGCAGGCTGTGCCTGAATTTAAATCACCTGAATCCTGGTCAAGAATTGCTTTCTTAAAATGTGAAGACAGTTATTGCTGGATATGGCAAAGAGATTTCAGCTCTTCAAACTCTTTCTAGGTTCTTCTGTCTCCACTGACCACCAGACCACATTGACTGGACAAGGCTGTGACAGTGCTTTCGGGCAATTACTGTCAGGATCATCTGCTATATGCTACAGGGCGGGGCAGCTAATTTTTGATATTGTTAGATTACTGCTCCTATCAGCCCCCACCATGGTCAAGGATGATGGGAGTTGGTAGTCCAACAACCCCTGGGGGGCTGCTAGTTAACCACCCCTATTTTAGCTGTTCACAGTTATACTTCAGATAGCTGACATAGGCCTTTAACTACTTTCTTGCAACTGTAACAATGTTGACAGGCTACATACAAAGTATCAGGCTCCACAGCTATGATTGCCCCTTTATGAATACAATGCCTTTATAAATAGAGTGCCTTGCAAAATACTTAAAAAAAACCACTTAAAACATTTTACATTCAATGTTAGACTCAAGTAAAAACAGTTTAGGTTCAATAAAGTGTAGGATTGGATGGTGACTTGTTAGTTATGTCAAGTAGTTCAAGAATAACCGTGATCTTTTGTTTCTTGTGACAGAAATGACAGCTCCATCAATGAAGGAAAGGAAGGCTTGCTGGGGAGCTCGGGATGAGTATTGGAAGTGCTTAGATGATAATATGGAAGAGGCATCAAAGTGTGAGAAACTTAGGTGCTCTTTTGAAAATGTGTGTCCACAACAGTGGGTAAGCAGCACAAATCCCCCCCCCCAATAGTTCTGATAGGACTGAGAAAGACTTCCTGTCTGAAACCCTGAAGAGCTGCTTCCAGTCACTGTAGATAATATTAGGCTATGTCTGACTCTTGTAAGGTGGCTTCCTAGGTTTCCAGTATGTACTTGTCTTTGCCAGCAATGAGATAAACCCTAAAAACTGGCATAGCACTGATAGGTATGTAAATTGTAGTGTTCTGTATCAAATACCTCAAGGGTTGTGTGAGCATCTCAGAAATATCTGCCTGACCAATTAGGTAGGGTTGATTGTGGCACCCCACATTTCACTGTAAGAAGACATTAGAACTGTTTGGTAATAGAACTAGGGGAGAATTCTCCCTTAAGGGAGTTGAGGACCCTGAAATGTTCAGAGTAGATTAACATGGTTACATATCCAGATCTGAAATGCTGCAATCGAAAAGAGGTCCTTCCTGTTTTCATTACACTAGAATTTTACTGTGTCAATCTCATTTTCTAACATTTTCTTGTTCAAAACAGGTTAAATATTTTGATAGAAGAAGAGATTATCTAAAATATAAAGCAAAGTTGGAAGCAGGAGAATTTCAGCCTTCAGAGACAACTGAGAAGTCATAGCTACTCATCAGCTTTTATAAATACAGCCACGACAAAGGAGCTTGCAGAAGAAGAGCACTTGAGTGATACTTAAAAGTGTCAGTATCAGTAAAGGACAGTGATGGCCTATGAATAATTTCAAAAGCTATACTTGTTTATCTGGCATCGGTGTGAAGGCTCCTAGCCCCTATGTACTTTGAAGTGCATGGTGAAGAGAAGAGGCTCCCAACCGCACCTCACTGAAGTTGCTAATACAAATAAAGGGCAAAGTGGTGCACTGTATCTACTCAAATGTTACATTGTGAGTTCATTACCAGTTTCTTCTTTCAAGTACTTTCCTTTGTATTAATAGAACGCTTACATCCATTTTGATAGTCGATCTTCACAAGTGAATAAATCAAATTAGCCAAATGCTAGTTATTGTGCAGTCATGCCAGTGTACACATTGAGTCTGTTTGCATATTAATTTGATAAAATAGAAGCATTGCCCCAGCAGCTCTGTGTATGGTTGAAGGGAACCCACAAACTTGAGTTGCCACCCTGCTACAAAATGGTCATTTGGAACCCACCTAAGAAGAATATAAAGAGATTTTTTCAGCAACATAATCTACACCAAGAAACTTGCATACTGAAAGAATATTTATCATCAATGAATATTTCAATACAGTCATGGTTTAAGGCATTTGAGTTCTTTTAAAAAATGAAGGCATGCAAAATACAAAACTTAATCTTTTGTGCAGTATCTCTACTCCATGAATTTCTTAGCACCATCAGCAACAGCTTTGACAAGATTCATGTATTTATCTTCATTCTTTTCCCTTGACGATCTGTTGCCTTATATATTCCCAAATGAGCAGAGCTCCACTTACATGGACATTAAGTGACCGGATAACTCCTTGCTGAGGAATTTCTACACAGGTGTCCAACTGCTGAATCAGATTTGCGGGGATTCCCTCATGCTCATTTCTGACCAGAAAAGCACACAAACATGTACCACAGTTAGCAGAGGGGATGCAGTTCAGTCCGAGAACATCTACTCAGCATGCAAAAAGACCCAGGTTTAATCAAAATAAGTATCAAAATAAGATGATACTGGGTAACAAGACCCTGCCTGAGGAGCCACTGCTGCTACTGGGCCAGATAATGTTAATCATATATTTAGTAGAGAAGACAGCACTGTGATACAGTGATAACATTTCCTCAGTCCCCTTTCATAACTAATATTGCTTTTAAGACAGATCAAGTGCAGTTTTTAGGGAGTGAGACTCCTGCCTCATTCCCTAAAAATAGTGCTCAGAGCTATTATATGGTGTAATTAGCTGATGTGTCACTGTTTTACATGCATTTCAAGCACATGAAAAATAAGCCTACAGCCCTGTTGAATGGGGAGGACAAAAATATCTGGAATGAGTGAGTTCTACACCAGGGGACCATCAGAAATAAAACTACAATGATGGACAGTTGGGTGGCTGAGGCCTTCATATATTTCTATTCTAGTCCTATTCAGCCACTACAGTAAATGGGAACAACAATTATAGCTGATCTTTTCATTTCCCTCAAACTCTACAATTCTCAGCTTCCACTACCAAAAAATTATTTAGAATCATGTTATAATTAAAAAGTTTTGTTTTTTTTATTTACCCCAGCAGCAAGAGGGATTTCTCTGGAAAACAATATTCTGTCAGATCACAACTTTTAGCGGTTTGCTCTACACCTATTATAGTGTAGCCTTCCATTTTCTTCTGCTCCAAATAATCAGCAAGCTGGAATGGCTTTACCTGCACATTTATTTTTTTAAAAATGAGATTAGTATAGAAATGTTTAAATGCAAACCTTTATTAATATACAGTACAAAATAGCTGTATCAGTCAAAACATGTCAGATTTTGATCAGCTGAAAGGCTAACATCATGTGGACCAATACAGTATCCTTATAAGATTCATAAAGCCACACTGCTAGGTCAATCAATCAAAACAAAAAAGGGGGGGATCAGGTTGGGAATCATCTAGTGCGGCAACTTGTTTCCAACTGACAGCCAGATGCCTCCAGAAATGCCACAAACAAGCTATGAAGACAATAGCCCACACTCCAGCAATGCTAGGTAAAGGTAAAGGTACCCCTGTCCGTACGGGCCAGTCTTGACAGACTCTAGGGTTGTGCGCCCATCTCACTCAAGAGGCCGAGGGCCAGCGCTGTCCGGAGACACTTCCGGGTCACGTGCCCAGCGTGACGAAGCTGCTCTGGCGAGCCGCACACGGAAACGCCGTTTACCTTCCCGATAGTAAGCGGTACCTATTTATCTACTTGCACCCGGGGGTGCTTTCAAACTGCTAGGTTGGCAGGCGCTGGGACCGAGCAGCGGGAGCGCACCCCGCCGCGGGGATTCGAACCGCCGGCAATGCTAGTCAGAGATATATTCAGGAACACACATGCTTAACGTTCCCACTTAAATCAAAGAAATGTCAAAGTGCTTAACTGTAGTAAAAACAGCCAGAAGCTCAACCCAGTCAATCACAGGAAAGAGTTGTAAAGGTAGCAGACTAATACATAACATTTCAACACTAGCATAAAGAATTTTAATCCCATACAATGTTAGGCAAGCCCATTCATGAAAATCTGAGGCAAGTTAAGTTACATTTAAGTAGTCTACAAGCAATATACTCTTTACTCACCTCAATAAGGGAAAGCCATTGTTCAGCAGAAACACTGAGGTACTGAAATTGCTTGTCATTTATATAATGAAGGCTGCCAACAATGAGAGCTGACACCCCAAATATTTCACATGTACGACACAAGCCTACATAGAAGCAGAACACTTTCATTTAATATGAGTCACATTTCATTAACTGAATGGCGCACTTAGATGCTGAAGAAGGGCATTCATGGTGAGTCTATCAGGCTATACAAAAATACAATAGCATGACTCACCCTTCCCTTAAAGATCTTAAACTAAGCATCCTCATCAGCCTATAACATGGCCCCGCAAACAACTAATTACTGCAAGTGGCTAAAGTACACTAATTTATGGTAATGTCAGGGGGGAAAGTCAGGAAAAAAAGTAAAAGACACTTCTCTTTTGTGCTGTAGTTTGATGATTAAATGCAATTTCTATTGGAAATCCTTTATATATAGAGGTTGAATATATAAAGTTTGCTTTAAAAAAATGTAAGTCACACAACATACTTTCAAGTACTAGTAGTTTCAAGTGGGTAAGATCTTACCTCCTAAATTGGTAGGTTTATCAATGAGTGAAGCCACTACAATCAGTTTATTGTTTGCTTTTCCAAGTTTAGTAGCCCGATCTTGAAACACAAGCTCCAGATCAGGAGTACTGTCCTTCCAAGGAATTATCTTTTTTTGAACATCTGTCCATTGCCTTTGACTGCTTGATTCAGCTGAACTCAAACCTAAGATTGAATATTTAGTTACCTGAATGCAACAAACTCTGCTGAGAATCCTAGCATATTAGAAATTAAATACTGAGGGCAGACAATATTCTTCATAAGCATTTAACATTTTGTGTTGTTAAAATACTGCACAATTAATTTTAAAAGAAGTATATAAAATATACGTGACTATTTAAGCCAGCGCTAGTTATTTACCCAAATCTTGCTGAGACCAGTCACACTGCTTCAGATCAAGAAGTGAAGTTCGAGAATGAGAGAATGGAAATGTTGAGCTCAGTGGGATGTCTGTGAATGCTTTAAATTTAGATAGAGAAATCAATTCCTCTTCTGCAATTTCTGAAAGATGCGGCAAGGTGTAAAATATTGTCTGAAAAATAATATTTGGAAAATTGAACTAGCACTGAAAATGCCAAAGTATATTAGCCATGAACCAGTCAAAGTGAAGCATTAGTGCCCTGTTATAATAAGAGAAACAAAATGATTGTTCGGTCTGTCCTACTGATATTTCAGTGTACAGTCGTACCTTGGATCTTGAATGCCTTGGCTCCCGAACAAATCAGCTTCCGAACGATCGAAACCCGGAAGTGAGTGTTCCGGTTTGTGAATGTTCTTTCGGAAGTCGAACGTCCAACAGGGCTTCCGCGGCTTCTGATTGGCTGCAGGAGCTTCCTGCAGCCAATCAGAAGCAGCGCTTTGGTTTTCCAACGTTTTGGAAGTTGAACAGACTTCCAGAATGGATTCCGTTCAACTTCCAAGGTATGACTGGGCTTAAATCTCATTGACTTTAATGGAAGGCAAGCATATTTAGAGTACAACCCCACCTGCAATGACAGTAGGGAGATAAAATGGACATCCTATGGGTATATTAAGAAGATCTGCCGTATCTAAAACCTTCCCACTCCCCTGACATTGGAGGGAAAATACCAGGAGTTGGTGTACTTCGTGCCTTTCCACCCTGGTCAGGAGGACTCTGGATTTGGTGGTTCTTCCACCATAAATTCTCCACCCTAATTGAACTGCTCTGCCCACCTTCTCTAACTGCATAATGGCAATCCATAAAATAAGACATGTTCCAAGTAAGTAGTCATTTCTCAAAGCACAGCCTTGTATATGAGGTTCAGGGTTGTGTACATCCTGAGGTTGCAAAGAAACGTGAAATTCAGACCCTGGACTTTCATTTTCTTATTTAATGTCTGTTTCTAGCTTTTAGGTGTGTGTACAATATTGGATAAAATTTCAAGAAACAGAAGGGGTTTAGTGAATTTCCAAATATCTGGGGTGTGTGATTTAAGGGTCCTGTAGCAAAAGCTGAATAAGGAAGCAATCATGTATTATCTGGAAGTAAGTCCTGTTGAGAACAATGGGGCTCATGCCTGTGAAGACATGCACAGGACTGAACTGTACATTAGGCAAAGCAAGCACACATATAAAAACAAAATGGTGCAGAATTAGGATAACTCTGGCAGTGAGTTTGATGTTTTCAACACACACACAAAAATGCCTTTGCTTAATGACCCAAGGTCATCCAGTTAGTTTCTTGAATGAGTGGAAATTTGAAGCCATGTCTCCTTGATCAACACTGGCAGTGTCATCGATTAGACAGATGTTTAAAAAAAACAAAATAAACAAACCACTGAATATTTATGTACTTACCTCAACACAGTAATCCTTAAGTGGATGAAAGTTTTCAAAGAAAAAGTGTTTTTGGATGCGCTGCCAATTCTTTTTAGCATTCCTGCATTGTAAGGATAATATTATGATGTATGACAAGAAAATGTCTCAATAAGCCTCTTTTTAGAAGGTTACCAAAAGGCAATCCTAACCATGTATATTCAGAAGTAAGTCCTAGTTAATTCAATGGGGCTTACTCCTAGATACGTCAGGTAAGGATTGCAGCATAATTATTCTTTTCTATTACGATTTGGTCACTTTCCAACTAGTAAGCACACAAGGGTAATTATGAGGTATTACACAACATCGCCTCGATCAAGGGAATTTCTTTGTGGTGCAGAAGCACTAAAAGA